ATAAGAAAAGAAACAATGAGTTTAACATCTTACAGAAGCAGCAATTCCCAATGCTGTCAAGGTCCAATATGGCTCAAGTAGACTAGAAAGAAGTCATTCAAACTGAAGAAGTCCATTTCATTTGAAAGAACTGAAAGACTGAGAACTAAGATTAAGCTGTCAGCTGTATTATCAACAGTTACTAAAGTGTTTAAAGAAAAATCATCATAGAAAGGAAAGGTATGAATAAAGGACCAAAATTAAATTTGAAAGAGAGTTGTACTAAGTAAAGCAGCAAGATGACGTGCAGGAAAACACTACATTAGAAAAAATCAAGTAATAGTGATCTTTCACCAAGGGGCTCTAATCAAAGGAGTAGAGACAGAGTCTACAGATGAATAGATTGTGGAGGGAGAAATAATAACTGATAAAAAGTTGTAGTTCAGCTAAAATGAGAGCCTGAAAGGAGATCACAGATGGGCTCACTGCCATGCCTTCGTCCATATGGCACTCACATTTTATAGTAGTAGGGGCAGGCAAGGCTGGGCATTTGCCTGGTTCTATCAGCCAGGATACCATATGTGTGGATAAAGCTGACAATGACTCAGAGACACCATGGCATATTGGGGAAAAAAATCAGCAGCTGATATGGCTGGAGATTGAAGTGGTGTGCAAAAATAATAGATGATGCTAGAAAGCCAGGCAGGGGCTATTTAGAGAGGCCCTAGTAGGTACAACAAGAAATTAAGATTTTTATCCTTTAGGCTATCAGGAATTGTAAATTGTAAGCAGTTAATTAACAGAATCACTTTGGTGGTAGTAAATAGAATGTATTAAAAGAAAGGGAGATTGGAGGCAAGGGGCTAGTTTATGGATTAATGCAATAATCTAGTCAAGAGGTATGAATCTTGAGTATATTCATTCATTCCGTTACACAAATATTTAGAAGCATATAATATATATGCTTCTGTCCTAAGCATATAATATACATGGCTCTGTGCTAAGTGCTGGAGAAATCAAATGAAAAAAATATAGTTACTGTCCTCATGGAAACCAGTCTGGTTAGAGAAATAACATAAAGAATGATTAGAGTACAGTGTGGTAAATTCAACAGAAGTGTATACAGTAGCACAGAAAAAGGAGTACTTAATTCCAAAGAGGAGGCTCCTGAGATCTGAATGGATTATTTGAAATTTGCCAGGTGTGAGTTATTTATGTGGTCTTCAAAAGAAGATGACAAAGATTTTAGAGCTCTTAGAGAAGATAACGAATACAATGACAGCAATCAACATTTGTATTACACTTACTACATGCTAATCAGTGTCCTAAGTACTTTACACATATTAACTCAGTAACCCAAAGAGGTAAGTGCTATTATTATTGCCATTTTGTAAAAAAGAAACAGGCATGGAAAGGTTATGTAATTCACCCATAGTCACAAGGCTTGTAAGTGGTTGAACCAGGATTTTTACTTAGGCAGTTAAGCTCCAATTGCTTCTCTTAGGTGAAAGTAAAGATTTGGGACTTATCACATAGAGGTAGGTGATGATCTGAGTGTAGATAAGCTTTGCCAAAGAAAGGATATAAACTGAGAGGAAGTGTGAGAATGCAAGGCAATAGAAGGAAGCAATAAAGAGTTTCAAATATCTATAGAGAGGTGAAATAAAATAAGGTCCAAAAAAGGGTCTATTGCATTTGACAACTGGGTTATTACAGACCAATGTTAAACAATTTAAGGGTAATGGCAGAGGCAAGAAAAGGGGCTTAGAGATGATGGAAGGTAAAGTACAAAACTCTCATTAACTACTCTTACAAAAACTTGGCTATTAGGTGAATGAGGAGCAGGTTACAGGGAGCAGCAAGGAGACTGTGGCTCAAAGGATCACCACCCACCTCTCTCCTTTCCCCAACTTGAAGAGTCATAAACATACCTATTATCAAAATAAAGGTACCAGGGCAGAAGGAATAGAGACTAAAGTTGTAAGGGGGAAAAAAAAAGATTACAGATGGATAAGTTCTTGGAGAAGTGAGGAAACGGGAGCAGTCTTAAGCATGCCCGTGAAGGGCAGAAAAGTTGAGAGTTCACGTTTAGTAGCCTCTATCTTCTCTGTGAAACAGAAAGTAAGGTCCACTACTGAGTGATGGACCCAAGGAAAACTTTTTTAGTTTTTGGACTAGTCATTAAAGGAAGAAGGGAATGAGCAAATCAATGATAAAAAATAGGCTGAGATGTAAAAACCCACTGCAGACTATAAGAAAAGCCATGCATACATATATACAGAGCATCAATCCTTTCAGTTAAAGAATTTCTCCTGCTGTGTTTAGCAACTCTGGTAGGAGAAAAGGCAGATTTTATAACCAATACAGAATTTGAAATTTGCAGAATGCGTAGAGCACGGGGCACCTGGGTGGCTCAGTCGTTAAGCGTCTGCCTTCGGCTCAGGTCATGATCCCGGGGTCCTGGGATCGAGCCCCGCATCGGGCTCCCTGCTCCACGGGAGGCCTGCTTCTCCCTCTCCTACTCCCCCTGCTTGTGTTCCCTCTTTCACTGCCTCTCTCTGTCAAATAAATAAATAAAATCTTAAAAAAAAAAAAAAAAAGAATGCGTAGAGCACAGTGACAAAGTGGCAAGAGAGCATGCTGGTGATAATTCACATGCAGGTCCATGGATTAGATGAGGAGGTTGAAGTTAGGAGAGGATTGATAATCTAGGGGGAGAAAAGGAGAAGTCAAGGAACAGGAAACATGATTAAGAATAAGTAATTGTAGGAGGAAAGGAGCAGGAGAGGTAGAAAGGTAAGAAGTTAGAGTAAGCTCCACATGGGCAGAGATCATGTCTGTTTTGGTCACCCCTGTTCAGTTAATCTAAAATAATAATTAATAATGCCTGAATAATTTTCAAAGAGTAAGATATTGGGGTTAAAGATTTGCCTGCTTTGACAAAATTGAGGGTTTGATCACTGATGTGAGTTGAACAAAAAAGGAAAGCCAGGTCCCTGAAGAGAATATGGTCCGGGAATATAGTGAGGCTTAAGCAATGACTACATCACTCATGGCATAGGTGAGCATAGAGAAGATTCTGAAATGTGACAAAATCCATGGTGAGTGCCCAAGACATGTTGACAGATGATAGTGAAAAGGAATTGAGTGGGTAGAGCAAGACTGCTGAGGCCTCCCAGGAGAGAGATTTTCCTTAAAGGGTTAAACTAATACTTCGGGAATAGCACTGAAAAGGTAGGAGAACAGTAACTTCTCCCTTCTAGCCTTGAGAGAAAGGACAGGGGGAAAAAAGAGGATGTGGGAGAAAAAGCAGCCTCTGCCAAAGAAATGGTGTCCTTGGGAAAGTGCCAGTTTTCAGTTAAGGCCAAGAGGGGTAAGGAACATTATGTGAAGAAGAACAGGGGCTCCAGAAGGCAGAGCGAAAAGGGGTGGGAGGAAAGCAGTGGGAGGATGAGCCAGGAGGGAAAGTACAGAGCAATATGGGAATGAGATTATGAAGATAAGAAGCCAGAAAGGCATGTATTTGGTTATTGCAAGGATGCTAGGGATGACAGTCATGGACACAACTAATGGCTGAAAGATTTGAATCAGAACTTTGGAATAAAGCAGTTTTGGTACTGGTCGTGGTCCAAGTGTTCTCAGAGTCTGATTTCTTACAGCCTCTTAGATATTTTAATCAGAGAAACGAAAGATTCTTACCCAGTGAGACCAGGTTTCCATAATTCTCCATCATGACATCTTTATACAGGCTTCTCTGAGCTGGATCCAGATAATCCCACTCCTCCTGGGTAAAAAACACAGCCACATCCTCAAATGTCAGCAACCCCTGAAATAGTACGATTTCTGTAGTCAGTTCTTGTTGTCTCAAGGACAATTCTACCACTGAAAGTAGCAGAAGCAATCACTTATCAGGGCCGGGTAGGCTAGAAGGAACATGATAACCAAGAGTTCCAAATGGGGCCCAATTCTGTAACAAACAGGCACCTCAAACTAGAGGATAACTGAACTGGATCTTGTCAGTAGTGATGGTCCTAACGATAGAGCTTTTCTGGTTTAATAATTATACCCTAACATTTTTATTCTAGTAAGCTGCCCCCAAACTCCCCAAGTTTCCTGAACCTCATTGCCCGGCTCCAACTCTGTCCGCACTGGCTTGGAACCCTGTTCAATTCCATGAAGTTCTCTAAGCGTCTACCTTGGGTCCACGCATCGTGACAGGAGCACAAGACACGGGGGAAGGTAAAAAATGGTGCCTCATCTGGGAGAACTCACAAATGAGAGCGCTTGTCTGGAGCATTACTAATTTTCTTCAACTGATTACCAAGTCGCTCTTGGGAAAAAAAAAAAAAAAAAAAAAAGCCAAGTGGGCGATCTGGTCGCGAATCACAATCCAGAGCGCTACGGGGTACTTCCTTGCACATCGCTGGCCCAAAAGACCACGGTCAGGGAGGGGGGGGGGGGGCGGTGGCGCGGCCTAGCTCCGGTAGTGGCGAGAGAACGGAGTACCCAGAAGGGCGACTTACCTTTGGCTCCGGCGGGGGGCTCGGGGAGGCCATCTCCCGGACAGAAAATCAGGGCAGGAACCCGCGCGGTCGCACGAATAGGAGCCTTTCGTGAGGCCTACCCAGCCTTTAGAAATTAGGCCCGACGAAGACGAGGCCTCCAGCCTGGGTCCGGCCAGGTCCTGCCTCGGTCCTCGAGCGGTCACGACCCCAGCAGCATATCAGACGCGCTACTTGGCCGTCCCCCAACCCCAAATTCCCACCCCGCCTATCTGCGCAGCCTTCAAGGCCTCGCTAGAGCCTCCTCCCGGTTGCCAGTTCCTCCTCCTTTCAGCCAAAGAGCGCTATGACCGCCCGCCCCCGGACCAGAAGGCGTCACCCGGAACCTTCCCGGGACGCCCCCCAACTACGACTCCCGTCATGCTCTGAGAGAACGCCTCGGTCCAGCCTCCGCCGGCGATGGCCACCGGACTACATTTCCCGGCATGCAAAGGGGGAGGGAGAAGCCGGGGACGCTTAACAGGAAAAAGGGAACACCTACCCCTAAGCTTACACCTGACTGGCTGGTCTTGGCGCGTCACTGCCAGCTGAGGGCAGAGCTCTATCCCGCAGCTCTCCTCCGAGATGGCGGCACTGTCAGTGTGTGGCGTTACCAGAAGAGGTCTCACGTGGATCGTCTTAGGGGCACCCCGCAGAGCATTTTGGTCTCGATTCAGGTAAAGCGGAAGGTTGGATGGTGGGTCTCGTTCAGGGAAAGTAAGGAGAGAAACTGAGGAGGATGAAAGGACGCATTCAAAAGCGTCGTGCTATTAAGACGGGACCCGGGTCCTGCGCTTGGATTACGGTTCGGAGTTCAGAAGTGTAAGCGCGGGTCTCCTGGAGTGGTGGGGCCCAGTTTAGGCCTCAGTTTTCTCGTCACGGAGATACCGCTCTCTTTCCCTCCCATTTCACTCATTAATTTATTAAGCAAACAGTACTGACCACGTGTTCCAGGCATCAAGTGCGGTGTCTGGAAACAAATGACTCGTTTGGAACGAGCAACGTAGAACATGAACGTGAAAGCGCTCGGTAAACTAAGTTCATTCGCGCGGTATATTTCTTCACACGGAAGATTCAGAAACGAAGTGTGGCCTCATTCTGTTCATGTGTTCATTCGTTGATTCACTCAGCAGATAGTTACTAAACGCCAGGACTGGGCCAGCATTTCCCTAAGTAGTTTACAGTAGCGAAACAAAGTCCCTTCTCAGAGCTCTGACATACGGGGAACCTGAAGCTCCGTGGAGAGGAAGTATTTTGCCAAAAGCAGGTCAGTGGCAGAGCTGGAACCAGAACCCAGGTCTTTGACGCTTTTCCCACAGCACCATGTGGAACATTTTGAAGGTAAATCTGTTTGACTCAGTGTTAGGACATCAAAACTTGTGGGAACCTCAGGGAGCAATTTATGCCCTCAGGTTTCAAGCAAAAACTCTCTCCATCCGGAAGGATTTTTGTCATCTGTTCATGGATTTATTAGCTTCCCCTCTTTTTTGGTTAGTAGTATTATCTCAGATCTTCTTCAGGTTTGTTTCATTCACTCATTCATCACAAATTTATAGAGTGTCTGCTAAATGTCAGCTGTTTGGGTGTTAGGGATACAGTTGTTAATAAGTCAGACCAAATATTTGTCTTCATAGAGCGTATGTTCTGATGGAGGCAAAAAAACGTAGGATATGATTTCAGCAAGTGGTAAATTATGTAGAAAACTAGAGCAGTGTACGAGATGACTGAGATGGAAGCAATGGATACATTTCATTCTGATGAAATGTGACTGGAGTAGTTTGAGGAGAAAATGGGAGGTGATGAAGTAGACATTATAAATGTAGACAACTCTTTGGGAAACTGGATAGGAACATGGAGTCTAGGGGGTATTTTTGTTTTTCTTTGAAGATGGGAGATTTTTACAGCAGCATATTGTGTGCCCTGGGAATACTAGTAGGTAGAGAGAAATTGAAAAACAACTGATGCAGAATGAGGGCTCAATTGCTGGAAGAGTCTTTGAGTAGGCAAAGGGAAATAGTGCTACAAACCATATTCATGGCCAGACATCTTTTCTTTTCTTTCTTTTTTTATTCCATTGCCTCCAATTTCTGTAAGGATGACCAATCCCAGTCCGATATCAACTCCATGGAAAACAAGAGTCAGGTCATGAACTGATATTTCAGTAAGCCCTGAAGTAGTGTTATCAGGTAGATTTCCTAACATTGGCCCATGTACTCAGTAGTAGTTATTCAAGCAGTTTTCAAAGGACCCCAAATCAATAAAACAGGTCTTTATAATAAATAAAACAGGAGTTTATAATTTGGTACAGTGGTTCTTAACCAGGGATAATTTTGCCCATCTGGACATTTGGCAATGACATTTGGTTATGACTTGAGGACAGGAATGCTATGGCATTTACCCTACCCTGGATAGAGGCCAGGGATGCTGCTGGGCATCTTACAATGAACATCATAGTCCCCTACAACAAAGAATTATCTGGTCCAAAATGTCAGTGTTTGGGCTCAGAAACCCTGATCTGGTAAGAGAAGTAGAATGTAAAAAAATTAAAACTCAGGTAGGATGTGATATGCTGTTAAAGCAATATAAAGTGCTATAGTAGATCAGAGGAATTTACAGTTATATTTGGGGAAATCAAGTAAAGCTTCTTGGAAGAGAAAAGTTCTGTTCTAGGATTTAAAGTAAGATTCTATAGGTTAAGGGGCGCCTGGGTGGCTCAGTCGTTAAGCATCTGCCTTCGGCTCAGGTCATGATCCCGGGGTCCTGGGACTGAGCCCCACATCGGGCTCCCTGCTCAGCGGGGAGCCTGCTTCTCTCTCTCCCACCCACTCCCACTTCTTGTGTTCCCTCTCTCGCTGTTTCTCTGTCAAATAAATAAAATCTTTAAAAAGAAAATATTCTATAGGTAAAGATGAAAGCTAGGCATTTCCAATAGGGTATAACTTGAGGTAACACATGACACCAGGAAAGAGGGAAACAGAGTGTAGTAGTTTAGTTTGGGTAGGGCATAGAGTGTATATAGGAGATTAGTAGGAGATGAGGTTAGAGAGGTAGGATTGGGTTTAGAAACTGGGAATTCCAGGCAAATGATTTACCTCTTCCTGTTCTTAGAATTCTTAGAGCATGTAAAATCTGTAATTTTCTTTTCTGTGTGTACCAGCCCCATTCAGTTATAAGCTTCCAAAGGCAGATACCTATCTTATTCTCTCCACAGTGCCTGGAAAAGTAATAAGTGTGCATACTATTTATTGATTTAGATAGATAGGTAAGATTGGGTCTGGTGTTCGTCAGCTTGTCAGCTACATTAGTGCAGTTAACCAAAGATTCACATATTTGTTTTTGATCATTCCAGAAAAGAGAAAAAGCCAGTGGTGGCTGAGACAGTAGAAGAGGTGAAGAAAGAGCCTGTTATGGTGTGTCCACCCTTACGAAGCCGAACATACATACCACCTGAAGATCTCCAGAGTCGTGTGGAATCTTGTGTCAAAGAAGTTTTTGGCTCATCTGTTCCTAGCAATTGGCAGGATGTGTCCCTGGAAGATGGTCATCTGAAATTTGGTTTGTTGGCACGTTTAGCTGATGACTTGGGCCATGCAGTGCCCAACTCCAGGCTTCACCAGATGTGTAGGGTCAGAGATGTTCTTGATTTCTATAATGTGCCTATCTATGATAGATCTAAATTTGATGAACTTATTGCCAGTAATCTGCCTCCCAATTTAAAAATCACTTGGGGTTACTGAGCAGTTCAGAAGAGGAAATGTTGAAATCATTTGTCCTGAGCAAGGGGTTGGTTATTAGATTTGATACTTTACCATGTAAAATGATCAGAACTGTTCTCTAAACCCACTTTTTCTGTGGAAGAATTAACAGCAGGATTTTCTTTTTTCACATTTGTTGAAATTTTGTTGTTTTTTTAATGGAATCAGATCATTAATCATGTATGAAAATTTCCTTCTCTGGAGGACACAGTAATTAAACTTGTTCTTTAGATATGAGGCTATTATATGTTCAGACGTGACCTTTATTCTTCATAGGCATAAAATAATAGATGTGAAAACATGTTTTAATCCTGTTAGGGCTCTTAAATCTAAGGTGGTATTATGTATAGTACAAATACAAATAGGAAACTTGGATAAAAGAAATGTAAAAATCTATGTTGTTTATTATAGCAAGTTGTTTCTTTCACTGCTTTTCTACACAAGTAGAAATAGTAGAAAATGATAGTGTTCATTCTAGATTAATATCTTTTGGAATTAAAGTACATTTTTTGAAGAGTGTTGTGTGTTCTTGATGTTTTTAAAGGTGAAATTTGCTTCTCTGCCCTGTCATTTCCTTAAGTATTATAAATGAAAAAAATTAGAGTATATGCCAACTGTGAAGTGCTGTGACTTTCTTTAAATAAGAGATATGCCAGATTCTATGTCTAAGTGAATACTCTCTTTAAAGGAGATGATTATTTCAACCTTTTATCTTTTCTGTCACTTTTTTTTGAGAGAGAGAGAGGGAGCATGCACTCGAGTGGGGCAGGGGACGGGGTGCAGAGGAAGAGAGAGAGAAAATCTTAAGCAGGCTTCACACTCAGCGTGGAGCCATGATGCAGGGCTCAATCTCATGATCTGAGCTGAAATCAGGAGTTGGCCACTTAACTGAGTAACTCAGGCACCCCCTTTTCTGTAACTTTAAAAGTGGTTTTGAATACCTATGGATGTCCACTAGGGTGGTATTTGTAGACTTTGGTGTAGATACTCAATTTGTGGGAATTACTCAAATAGCTAGTTACCAGATAGTTCTGAACTACAGATGTTAAATGAAGAAGTGATTAAATTAGGAATTATTTTTGTTTAGACTTTAGATATGGCTAGAGAGTAGTAAGACAGAGAAGGAATTTCGTGTATATTATCCTGACTATTTAATAGTTCTGGAAGAAAAGTGATAGTTTTTATACAAAGGAAATTGCATGTATTCTCTTTTCCAGGGTGACTACTTTGAAGAGGGCAAAAATCAGGTGGGTGTATAAATTCTGGCATATTAATAAAATCGGTTACATTGTAGTTGTACCCTATAAATGTCATCAGCAGACAATCAGATTTTTAATAATCTGTACATTAAAGATCTTAAGTTTCTGAAGTCCTGGAGCTTAAATATCAGGGCTGATACATTCCTTCTATGTGAGAAGGTTTCAGTATGGAAATAGTTGAATTTAACTTACAGGATTTGATTATCTCATTTCCCACACAACTTTTACTTCTGATCTGGAAACACAGAAAAATGTGCAAAGGGCATGATGGAAGTAATAGATGCTAAAGGGAATGTGGAAAAACACTTGGTTTCACCTGGAGAACTGCAAAACCAGGCTTCATATGGGTGTAAAGGCAGAAGAAATTACTTCTTTGTAACCTGGAGCAGTGTTTCTCAAAATTTAATGCACATATGAATTACTTGGAGATCTTTTTAAAATGCAGATTCTGATTACATAGGTCAAGAGTGGGTCCTGAACTTCTGTATGTCGAAAAAGCTCCTAGGCAATGCTGTTCATGTTTTGAGTAACAGGGCCCTAGACCCTAGTATTAAAGTGGGAAAGTACCATCCCTGAAGCAGCGGTCCTGGAAAGTTGAGCTAGTGGACAAGATAAACTGCACATCCATCAATAACTAGAAGGTGTCACTGTTTGACAGTCCAATACAATAAATCTATCAGAATAATGAGCTTTAGTTTTCCTGAAAAGGTTACATTGGGTTTGCTAACTTGTTTACTGAGGTAACCAAGCATGGTGTAATTATAAATGGTTTACATTTAAAAAAATTAGTGATTGCTGTATAAAAGAGTTCTCAATTATTGTTAGCTGGGCCTTTGAACTCAGTAAATATACTTACATAAAACCTGGTAATAAAATATTCAGGGTTGGGGCGCCTGGGTGGCTCAGTAAGCGACTGCCTTCAGCTCAGGTCATGATCCCAGGGTCCTGGGATCGAGTCCCGCATCGGGTTCCCTGCTCTGCGGGGAGCCTGCTTCTCCCTCTCCCACTCCCCCTGCTTGTGTTCCCTCTCTCGCTGTGTCTCTCTCTGTCAAATAAATAAATAAAATCTTTAAATAAAAATAAAATATTCAGGGTTAATAGAAATAGATTTGCAGAGACAGTATGTATTTTAAGCCACATAAATAGACTTCTTTTTTATTTTAACATCATTTTTCTGATTATAAAAGCACATTTTTAAAAATTTGGGAAAGACAACAAATACCATTTTTGTCTTACTACTCAGATAATCACTAAACAGACTGGCGTATTTCCAAATGAAAAGAAACTTTTTTCCTGTATTTTAAAATTTACTGTCATATTGTCCTGTTCCCTTCACTCTGTGAGTGTTTCTACTTATTTTAAGGTAGTCTTGGGGCACCTGGGTGGCTCAGTTGTTAAGCGTCTGCCAGCTCAGGTCGTGATCCCAGAGTCCTGGGATCGAGCTCCGCATCGGGCTCCCTGCTCAGTGGGTAGCCTGCCTCTCCCTCTCCCACTCGCCCTGCTTGTGTTCCCTTTCTCGCTGTGTGTCTCTCTCTGTCAAATAAATAAAATCTTTAAGATAGTCTTAAGAGTAACAAATTTGACTAATAACATACTCCATAACTGGATGTTAGGTACAGTAGTCCCTTCTTAACCATGGGGGGGGATACATTTCAAGGTCCCCAGTGGATGCCTGAAACCCTGGATAGTATTGAACCCTATATATGCTATATTTTTTCCTATACATTCAGACCTATGATAGTTTAGGCACAGTAAGAAATTAACAATAACTAATAGTAAATAGAACCATTTTAACAATATGCTGTAATGAAAGTTATGTGAAGGTGATCTTTCAAAATATTGTATTATATTCACCCTTCTTATGATGATGTGAGATGATAAAATGCCTATTTGTGATGAGATGAAGTGCGGTGAATAACGTGATGTAGAATTAGGCTGCTGTTGACCTGATTTACATCAGAAGGAGGGTTGTCTGCTTCCTAATGGGGGTTGACCACAGGTAACTCAAACTGGAAAGTGAAATTAAGGGTGGGGAGGACCACTGTAATTTTTCAACCAATATGCTATTACTCGCTTCGGCAGCACATATACTAAAATTGGATATTTAAGTTATTGCCAGTTTTTTCCTTTTATTTGTTAAAATCTGGCTTTTTTAGTTCTTTGAGTATTGGTCTGCCATAAAACTCATCAGAAGTGGAAGTCGTTCCACTGTAAATTTCTTGACCTTGAACCTAGGAATGGGCAACTTGGTCCTGCTTCTTTGTTTTTTCGTTTTGTAAATACTAATCTCAAGTCAGACTTTTGGCAATATTTTTTTTAAGCAAGCTCTACACCCAAGGTGGGGCTTGAACTCATGACCCTAAGATTAAGATTCATATGCTCTCCTGACTGAGGCAGCCAGACACCCCTGTCCTACTTCTTTGATTTGTAATCCCACTAGCATGTGTTCTGTGTATCCTAGAGGATTAAATGACAGGTAGCTTGAACTCAGTCATACCTGCACACATGAACTTAATCTTATCTGCAGTTATTTTTCTATCTTATTTTTGCTAGGTTATTTCACAGTGCAAAAGTCCTAAAATTTTTACGTGAATGATTTCTAAGTTCAAAAGTAGTCTCAACTTCTGAGTCAGCAGAATTCCAATGTTGGTTGTACAGTAGCAAACTCAGGAAATTATTAAATTCAAAATATTTAACACTGATGTAACACTAATCATACATTGTTCATATTCAAATTTCACTGATGTCCGAGAAATGACCTTCATAGTAATTTCACCCCCTGATGCAGGATGGAATCTTGGTTCATGCTTTGCATTTTTGTTCTCACCTTTACTTAATCTCCTTTACTTTGAAACAGTTCTTCATTAAATTGTATTTTACAAGGAATTTATTCATTTCATCTAAGTTGATGAATTAGTTGGCATACAATTGTTCATAATCTTTTATTTTTCTTTTAATGTCTATTGGATCTGCAATGATAATCCCTGTTTCATTTTGGGTATTTGTTATTTTATTCTTTTTATTTGATCAGTCTGGCTTGTAGTTTATCAATTTTGCCGGTCTTCTCAAAGAACCAAATTTGTCTTTGTTAATTTCTTTCTATTGTTTATTTTCTATTTCATGGATAATATATTTTTCTTATTTCCTTCCTTCTACTTACTTTGGGTTTACTTTCCTCTTTTTTTTTTTTTTTTCCTAGCTTCTTAAGGTAAAGACTTGGGCCATTGATTTTAGATGCTTTTCCAATATAAGTCACTAAAATTATAAATTTCCCTTTTTTAGCTTTAGCTTCATCCTACAAATATTTTCATTTTGTACTTCCATTATCACTCAGTTTAAAATATTTTCTAATTTCTGATGTGATTTCTTCCTTGATCCATGGATTATTAGAAGTGTGTTTGATTTTAAATATTTGGGCATAAATAAGGAATAAGATATTCTACATATTTTATTCAATTCTAATTTAATTCCATTATGGTCAGAGAACATACTCTGATTTCAGCATTTTTGCATTATTAAGATTAACTTTATGTCGCAGTTTATGGCTTATCTTGTTGAATATACCATGTGTGCTTGAAGTTGTTGGGTTTAATGTTCTATAAATAGCAATTAGGTGAAGGTCATTGATAGTGTTGTTTAAATTTATGTCTTTACTGTTTTCGGCAAGTTATTCTATCAGTTGCTGAGACAGGAATGTTAAAATCTTAACCATGACTATGGAATTATTTATTTCTCTCTTTAATTCTGTCAAATTTTGCTCCATATATTTTGAAATCCATTATTAGGATTTATGATTTTTATGAACTTGTCATTATTTTTTTATTTCTGTTAATACTCTTGATATTGAAATGTAATTCATCTGATATTAATAAAGCCACTTTGGGTTCCTTATGCTTAGTGTTGTATGCTATATTATTTTTCATCCATTTACTTGCAGTCTATCAATGTGAAGTACATTGATAATTTTTCACTACAATCCTGACTTTTGGTAATCTCTTCCTTGCTTTTGTTTAAAAATTTACAAGTATGTTCTGTAGTTTTTTTGGCATATATAAATTTATGATTCATTTATAAATTTATGACTGGCATCTAACACTCAATATTAGGTTTGTGAAATTCACCCAGGGTTATTGAATGTAGTTACGATTCTTTTATTTTTATTGCTTTGATTCATTTATTTTTAATGCTGGGCTTGTAGTATTCTACTGTATAAATATACCAAAATCTATTCATTTATTTTATTGTTAATGGACATTTGGTTGTTTCTAGTTTTTAATATCTTGGAAAATGCTGCTGTGAATATTTGTCTACAATTCCTGATGCATCTGTGCACACATTTCTGTTGGGTATATCTCTAGAAATGAAATCGCTGGATCAAAGGTCATTCATATTGTCACATTTAATAGATAGCCAAATTTCTAAAGTGATTGCACCCATTTACATTCATTCCTCTAGCAGGGTTTGAGTCTTGGTGATCCACTTCTTAACCAACTCTTCTTCTTTTCAGAATTTACAATTTTTGCCAATCTTACAGGTATAAGTATACCCCATGATTTAAATTTGCATTTTTAATTTTAATTTTTATTTATTTATTTTTTTAGAGAGGGAGAGAGTGCTTCATTAGTTTGGTTAGACTGCAAAGACCTATTTGAGGTTTTGACCGATAAGACGACTCTAGATAGTGCCATTCTTTACTGAGGGGAAAGGAAGGTTCAAGAGGAAAAATCCCGGTACTTTTTAGCTTGTAATCAGGGCTATCTCTTTTGGGCTGGTTGTAGAAGGGTTAAAGTCTCAGGTCTTGAATGAGAAGTAAAAATAGATTCTTAATTTCAGTGTTTGGAATTTAGCAGTTCATGCAGACAAATAGTCTTTTTGTTCATTTATAACCTCAGCGATGGAGTTGAAAAAAGTGCTCTGTTGGAGTTTGTTTAGAAAAGATATCAATAGGGACTTGTGATTATGAAGATATCAAGCCAGAATTTATATTTACGAGGGAGAATGACTCAAACTATTTGTTGACTTTTCTTTATTCTATCTTCCCCCATCTCCATTAATATTTCTCTTTCTAAAAACTGTTTCCTAGAATATTACAGAAGAAACTCTTAGTCTGGGATTTTGAATTGTGGTCCTATTTTTATATTGTTTGAAGGATGATTTTTCTTTTAATGGCAGATGAATGGCTTGTTAGAATTACATTATGTGAAAATATTTCTTAAAGGTCATATGTATTTATGCAATTCAGAAATGCTTTCTGGTAGTGAAATGTAATAAACAGGGATATGAAGGAAAAAGTGATGATGTTTGAAAAGAAGTAAAAGTTGAACTAAAGCTAATGACTTTTCATTTACTTTTTTCTGTTTGGGAACACTCCTTGATCCATGTGATATTTAAGTAGAAACTTAATGGATAATGTATGGAAGGAAGACTACACCTTTAGGCTTACTTAGTGTAGGGACTGTGTCTAATCTCCCTGTGATTATCACAGTGCAGACCCTTGATAAAGTCTTATTGAACTACTAATGAATTTGACTAAGAGTTGGAGATATAAATTCCATTCCTGACTCTGCCATGTGTTTTTGTTTTTTTTAAGATTTTATTTATTTATTTGACAGAGAGAGAGAGTGAACGCAGGAACATAAGCAGGGGGAGTAGGAGAGAGGGAAGTAGGCTTCCCACCGAGCAGGGAGCCCGATGTGGGACTCGATCCCTGGACCCCAGGATCATGACCTGAGCCGAAGGCAGACGCTTAATGACTAAGCCACCCAGGCGCCCCATCTGCCATGTATTTCTGTGTGCCTTACGTATACTCAATTTCTTGAATATTTTTACAAGGGAAATAGGGTACTTTTGGGCTATAAAATCACTTGTTTTTAAGCTTTTCAGGGAAAAATGTCTTATTCACCATCAAATTCTCATTTTCACTACTTGTCTCTCTGTAGGCTCATTCTCATCAGCATGTATTCATGCCTGTGTCTATCCCATCTCTCTCTCTCTCTCCCTCTGAACACACACAAATTAAAAACAGAGTACAGTGTTAGCAGATACCGTCAATACCTTGCCTGTATATACTTCCCCTAGTGGCATTAGTGCGCAGGCCTGACTCACAATATCAGACCTTGGATTCCTGTGCCTGATAGTTTTTTTGGGCCTCCAGAGTCCACTTTACCTCTCAGCATGGCAAGCTGGAAGTGGTGGGAAATTAAGGCTCCTTCCTCCCCGCACCACTCAGCCCTCAACCAACCATTTATTGGACACTTCCGTGGCTCATCTGCACTCATGTTCCCTGGAAACCCCTCAAAGTACACTACTTGCTTACCAGTTCTTATCTCAAGGCAGGCTTCTTGAGGAATGCAAGGTAGGACACGAAGCGAACTCTTGACCCATCCTTCAACTACCACGCTATTTCGCTTCTTATTCTGGAATAATTAAGCTGTCACGTTCATTCCTCATCCCCATTCTTACCAGGCAGTCTCCTCTCTCTAAAAATGCACAAGGATTTGCACATGGTATAGCGAATAGCAGTTTCAGATCTGAACTTGCTTAAATTATCAATTGATGATTGTCTTTCCATTAGCCTCCTTCACCCCCCTGATCTATAACTATTAAGGATTTGATCTTACACAGTTGTGAGAGCTGGTTTAGTAGTCTCCAAAAAGTTATTTTCTTTGCAACTGAGGCTGATCTCACTGAGCCCTGTCCTGATGTCCAACCCACAGAACATATGAGCATAATAAATAGCTGTTGAACACTTTTAAGTTTTTGAGTGGTCTATTACATAGCCATAGTAACTGGAACACCTGTTTCTTTTGGGGTTACTTAAATATTTGTGTGTGTGTGTGTGTGTGTGTGTTATTCTAGAGAATATAATAGGTACCTGAGAAGTCTAGCTCTTGGTTAAAAACTTACGTGTGATTTTCCAGAACTGACTATAGGCAATTACAAAGGCTTTAGTTGGCAAGCATCATGGTGGAATGCTGCCCTTCCAGCACCAGACTTGGGGTACAGCCAGTGCATGGCAATCTCTGGAAAAAGTTGGAAGCAAAGACTCAGGCCACTCCGTAGTTACTGGTCTCCCTAGTCATTAGTCACACAGGCCCATCATATTCTCATATTTGCCCTCCCTGCCCAGGAGCCCTCATTATAGCTCTATCAGGCCTTTGCTCAAGGTCCGAAGTCTTCTCGGTATGTGTGCTGAGGGGATGCTTGAAGACACTTTCACTGACTCAGCAGCCAGTTATTTTCTACTTCTAGCCTTTCCCCTCGCTCTGCCCTGACCTCAGAACTGCTGGACGCTTGTTTTGGGGCTCCCTCAACAGTGAACCCGCCCCCCCATCTGGCTGACCTGCCGACTTCAGACCCTCAATCCTTGTCCTGACCAGGCACTTTCTCCCTCACAGTGATTAAAGGCTTGACTCTTGTTTTTGGCTTGCTGCTTTCATCAGTACTCTGACACCCAAGCTGCTCGGCTTTCTCTGTCTCCCTGGGCTCAGCTGAGCTCCTAATAGTACCTTTAAGTTGTTACGGTCTGCCTGCAAATAAGCTTGTGTTGCTTGAAAAATAGTAAGATGATAATCTTACAACAGTATAATTCTATTTACTCCATACCCACCTTTTTGTCATTATATTTCTAAACCCCACAAGACATTATTTTTATTTTAAAGTCTTTTAATTGCATTTAAATACACATATATGTGTGTATGCATATTAAAGATTTTTTTAAAGATTTATTTATTTGAGAGAGAGAGCATAAGCAGGGGAAGGGGTGCTCTCTATGTCTTCTAAAAAAAACAAAAACAAAAACAAAAAAACCCACAACAACCAAGTTCTTGTCTGATCATTCCACCCTCTTGGCTATGTTTATGCGTCTTCCTATGGACTGTTTGCTCTCATCATGATTAGGGGTCAATTTTCTTCATTCTGTTGTGTCTTGTAATTTTTAAAATCATACTCCAGATATTTCATATAAAAGAAATGACTAGAATAAGTAATATTTACCTCAAGAAAAGAGCAAAGCCCTAATCTGTCAGAAAGTTAGAATTAAGGGCTAAACCAATCTGACCTGTGGTTGAGCTGGGTCTGAGCTTTGTTGCAGCTTTGTCTGATTCAGTGCACCCCTGCCTTCAAATATTTTTGGGTATGGGATTAGGCCCTTCTCATCAGAAGAAACTGGGTCTAAGCATTGCTGAACTTCCGGAGATATTTTTGGTTTTTTATGGCCATGTTGCTAGCTTTTCTCACTGTAGGATATTCCTCTCTGATTTATAATTCTTCTAGAAAGAGGGTCACTAAGGAAATTTCTTTGCTCTGAAGTCCCACTCCTGGCTTTCTGAGCCTGGGGAAATCTCTCTATTTGACTGTTCTCCCCATCCTTTGGAAGTTAGCTGCTTTGCTTTATACAAAGACCTGCAATGCCTCAGACAGATTTCTCTCAGCTCCTGTCTCTGCTCTCATTTTTTGATGTATTATCCTAGAGCACATGGCCAAATCCTTAAGAGTTGGCACTTGGAGAAGGACTCTGGCTGGAGTTTCTCGGAATTCTAATCTATCAAACCAGCCCGCACACATCCATTAAAATTGCATTAAATTTTCTGTTGATTTCTCCTTATTTTTCTTTATGGGGGATTCTTTTTTTGCTGTTTTATCTTTGTAGAAGAGAAAGTTTCCTCTCTCCTAGGAGGAACCTATCACTCACTGGAGTTTAATTCATTTAGATTCCTGGCAATCTAGTGAGTTTAAGAAAACAAAAAAATTTTATTTTGTATTTATTCAAATAAGGTAAGGTTATTAGAATGGGAACAATGGTCATTTTTGTGGCTTTCTTCACACTAACCCAAAGGAGAAAGGCATTCCTTAATCTTCAAGAGGGAGATTGTGAAAAGCTTAGCAAATTTTTGTATACCTGAAGGGCTTGCCAGCATCTGGTTTTGCTTAGGACTGGGTAAGCCTAACTATGAAGCTGTGAGTATTTTTTCTTTAGGGAGTAATACATATGTCAGCCTCCTTGTTCTCCCCAAAGATTTTGCCCTCATTCTTTTGAGAAGACTTGTCAGTTTTTTATGCTCTGTTAGAGGTGAATTCTTAGATGCCAGGCATTCTGTTTGTAGGACTTGGGGAAGGGATTAGTAACGGAGTCCCCAGTTCCATATATGTAGATGTTTAACAAATCCCGTTTTCTTTTTTTTAGATTTTATTTATTTATTTATTTATTTATTTATTTATTTATTTATTTGCGAGAGTGTGAAAGTGACCGCGAGCGGGGTGAGGAGCAGAGGGAGAGGGACAAGCAGACTCCGTGCTGAGCAGGGAGCCCAATGTGGGGCTCGATCCCAGGACCCTAAGATCATGACCTGAGCCAAAATCAAGAATCGGACACTTTAACCAACTGAGCCACCCCGGCACCCCAACAAATCCCATTTTCAGCTGCACATCTCATTCGTATCCTCCACTGCATCTAATTTTTCAAGGGCTCTGGACAGCCAATTGTGATACCTTCCTTGGATGTGTTGATACCATTCATGCATATTTAGCTGCTGCTTCCTCCACCCTGCTTCATAATTACTACAAAACATATCTACTTGTTTTATGTCTTCTACAAATTTGCCAAAAGCTCTCAGGTATCTTGCACTTGAAGATTATATCAGGATATTTGCTAAATAACTGGAGAGTTAGAGCTGAATCCCAAGCAGCCTGGTTTCTGGTCCAGTTTACCTTTCATTAACCTGATCATCACTGCCTTATTTTATTTTCCTATATATATATTTTTTATATCCAGGTTTTACTGCAAACATTACTGAGGATCCTCTAAGGTGCCACATTGTAACAATGATTCATCTGACAGCTACCCCTTCAAGTGCACTTATTGATGAGCCAGTGCATATCCGAGCTACCGGCCTGTCTCCCTTTCAGATAATGATTCTTCAGGCATCACTGAAAGATGAAAAGGGGAACCGGTTTCATTCTCAAGCCTACTATAAGGCCAATGAAGTTAGTGAGGTAGACCTGGAGCATGCCCCCTCACTGGGAGGTGACTACATAGGAGTCCACCCTATGGGTCTCTTCTGGTCGCTGAAACCTGAAAAATTTTTAACGAAATTGTTGAAAAGAGATGTGATGAATAGCCCCTTCCTGGTCCAAATAAAACTTTATGATTCAAATTTACTATTAACCGACATCGCTACCACTGCTCCAAAAGTCAGCCTGACTTTGGAGAGGTGGTACATAGCACTTGGTGTCAAACGGATCCAAGTTCGAGAAGGCCACCTTCGGGGAGCCCTCTTTCTCCCTCCTGGTGAGTAGAATTAACTTGGTTACTTTCATCCCTGTGTTCCCTCTTTTGAGTGCCTAATCCTTCTACAGGTTTAACTTGGATGTGGACAGTACATAGTGTAGTCCTTTCCAGCCTTAGAATCAGGGCTAATTCTGGGTCAGAACAAGAATATGGTGATGCCCATTCCAACTCAAGTTTGATCTCAACAATTCTGGAGCTTGTCTAAGGATATGACTAACATGTAGTTTATGAAGTCCCTGCATTATGGGGTTTCATAGCTTTGGATTTATATGAAATCCATCTGTAGTGAAGCCTATCTGAAGACCCACATCCTGATATCATGGAACTGTGTCCCAGCTTCTTTTGGGAGTTCTGTCTTGCCTGAGTTTCAACTTAGATATAGGTCATCGCATGCAATAAGCTGATGATACAATGGACTGAAATACTGCAACAAATATAGAGGATACAAAGAGACTCTATATCCTCTAGTTCCATAAATATTGCATATTTATAGAATATTCCATAAATCCACAGATCATACAACCTGCTCCCTAACGGCTATAAAACCTACCAGAAAAGTCAGTTTCCCATAGTGATCTCCACATATCAATAAGTGGTTCAAAACATCTACTGGTACATTTCTCAGGATTTATTGTGGGCCTGAATGAAGCAAAGTTAATTTCCCAGAAGTAGCCCTCGACAGGTCCGGGTCTCAGGTATGTCCGAGATCCCCTTCTTCAGGCATGAGCTTTGATCCAGGACACAGCCATCATATCATCAGGACATACTGCACCTCTCTCTGCTTTCAGAAACACAATCACTGTGTAGAAGTGAGATGGGTAAAGGCAGCCTGAAGTGTTAGAGGTGGTTCCTGACAGCAAGAGTTATAGACGATGTAGAAGGAATAAAAGCTTCCCTTTCCAAAATCGTCATGACCCATGCAGTCGTTTGGATAAATCTCAATGTTTTTATACCCCTAGCATACAGACAACATCATTGTGTGTAGTATCAGGAGCTAAGTAGCACAAATGTCTGTCCACCTCGTTAGAAATCTATCGGTGCAGGCCTCCCACCTTGGGATCATGTGCTGCCTTAGAGGGTGCTATCTGTGAATCTTCTTGGACACTGCACATGCTGTGTGTCCTGCTTGTTCTGAGGGGGATACAAAAGAGCTTTGAGCTGTGTGGGGCCAAAAGAGGCTGAGTCAGTTCTCAAAATAGTTCTCAACTACAACATTCTTCCATGATAAAAGGCTCACTACTCTTAAGTCCTCCCTCTTCCTGTCAATCAGGAGATGAAAAGCATCTTTATTCATTTATTGAAGTGGTCTTTTAAACCAAGATATATTTAGTACCATTTTATTTCTCCTCTCAAGGTGAGAAAACATAGCAATGTTTTGTTTTGAAAATTCCCAATACTCCTTTAAATCAAATCACTCTTCTTTCTTTTTTATTTTTATTTATTTTTTTATTTTTAAGTAACCTCTTACTTACTTATCTCCTTAAGTAACCAACATAGGGCTTCAACTCACAACCCCAAGATTAAGAGTCGCATGCTCTACTGACTGAGCCAGCCAGGTGCCCCCATGGATGGGACCAGTCTTCCTTAGTTAAAATCACCTACCTGAGAATAGGGTGCCCCCAGTAAGTGCATCATAAATTTTTTTCTACTTTATTTAAGAAATTAGCTGCCTACACAGAGCGTGAGTATAGAATGATACTCTGACCATCCCTACTTTTTACCATGTGTTAAGCTGCAGTAATAAACATTGTTATTGCATGGAAGAACTCATCATTTACATCTGCTTGGCTGCAAGATTTCATCACTGTATAGTCAGATGAATGGAACAGAGCAGAGTTAAGTTGGGATTTTAGCTAAAATATTTATCTCAATAGCTTTTTTTGAAGTCATATACTTTTGAAGGCTTTTTTTTTTTTTTTGAGTTATATATACTTTGAGAACTTAGTTAAATCTATAGAAGCTTTCATTAGTAAAATGCACACATAGGGGCACTTGAGTGGCTCAGTTGGTTAAGTGTCCTACTCTTGGTTTTGGCTCAGGTCATGATCTCAGGGTCGTAAGATTGAGCCCCGTGTCATGCTCCATGCTGCACGTGGAGCCTGCTTAAGATTCTCTCCCTTTCCCTCCGGCCATCCCCGTGCCAGCCCCAGCCCAGGTTGCACGCTCTCTCTCCTAAAAAAAAAAAGGACATATAAACCTATACTTTGCATACAATTTCAGGGCCTTCATTGATTTCCTAAAGCCTAATTGTGTACCTTTTCATAGTTTAAAAAGCCCTTGCGTAATTTCAATGGCTTTCTTTACACCAATACTATAGAAATGAACTACTGTGAGTCCGCAGGACCCCTTGGCTACAGAGATTAAACGTGTTCGGTGAACATGGTTCCCAAACAACCTTCCTGATACTATGTTCCATGAATGTATCCAATCAGCTTTAATTCTGCCCCAGATACAAGGCTGAAAACTTGGGGATTCTACTGAAAATTTATGCTTCAATTCCAGAATTTGTGATGCATTTCTTCGTGTTGTCGTATTTTTCTTCTCTTTTCCTTCCTTTCCCTTCATACCCAGTTCTGTGTTGTTTTGTTCTTTCTCAGGAGAGGGCTGTTTCCCAGGGGTAATTGACTTGTTTGGTGGTATTGGTGGACTGATTGAATTCTGGGCCAGTCTCCTGGCCAGTCATGCCTTTGTTGCCTTGGCCTTGGATTACTTTAACTATGAAGATCTGCCTTCCCAACCAGAAAAGACATAATTAGAATATTTTGAGGAAGCTGTCAACTTTCTCCTGAGACATCCTAAGGTAATTTTTGCCTTTTATTTTATTTTTTTAAATTTATTTTTATTTTTATCTTTTTTTAAAGATTTTATTTATTTGACACACAGAGACAGCGAGAGCAGGAACACAAGCAGGGGGAGCAGGAGAGGGAGAAGCAGGCTTCCTGCTGAGGAGGGAGTCTGACGCGGGGCTCGATCCCAGGACCCTGGGATCATGACCCGAGCCGAAGGCAGATGCTTAATGACTAAGCCACCCAGGCGGCCCTGCCTTTTCTTTTAGTCCCTGTTTTTAAATAACCATAACACCCTGTGGCTTCCCTTAACTTCCAGGTATGATTCTCCTCAATGAACTTGAAATTCTATGACATATCCATATTATTCACATGATTTATTTCACACCCAATGTCTTTTGCTCAGAAAGACAAAACAGGAAGTTAGCCTGTGTCCATGATGGAATCAAAACACAATGGCTTTATTTATTTATTTTAAAGATTTTACTTCTTTATTTGTCAGAGGGAGAGAGCACAAGCAGGGGGAGTAGGAGAGAGAGAAGCAGGCTTCCCGCCAAGCAGGGAGCCCGATGTGGGGCTCGATCCCAGAACCCTGGGATCATGACCTGAGCTGAAGGCAGATGCCTAACTGAGCCACCCAGGAGCCCCTTAAACAGCTATTTTTGATGCATATGTTGGAGTTGTCTTTGAACTATCACATAGGTGATGTTACGGTGTTGAGTTTTCTGCTTGGCTTAGATGAGAAATGAGGAGGTTACGTGATTCTGCTGTTCGCTTTCTTAGCCTGGTTGCCCTTGTACTTGTTGCATGACTTTTCCATCAGTGTTCTTACCAGTGTCACTTAGATAGTTAGTCAATGCCTAATGAGACCTGGAAACGAGTTTTCTTTCCTAGGCTCTTAGTACTTGCACTAAGCCTGCTTCATGCTCTCTCTTCTGTGAGAGGAGAGACCACCCATATTTCAATTCCTTGTAGGTCTTACTTCTCCATCTGTTGATTTTAAGTGTCTTCTAAGCATTCTAAATTCCCTGATCCCAAATTTGGTGGCAGAAATTATAACAAGAGTTAGTGTTCTGCCAAAAGCCTGCACATAACTGAGTCACTTTTTTTGTTGTTGTTCATCCATGTTATACTTCCTTTTACTTTATCTTCCCTGGCCAAATCCATTCTGAGTTCTCACCTCTCATTGCCGAAACTATGACTCTATATCTTTTATATTAGGACATAGAACTTCAGAGCTTGAAAGGTCTTTTTAATTCAAAAGGAGATGATTGCAGTCACCCCTCTTAATATACAGGATAGGACCTCAGGTAGAATGTATTGGCCTTACAAAGAGGCTGAAAAAATATGTAGCAAAGGGGAATAGGTTCAGATCCATCAGAATTTATTCCCTGGGACTGGATACATGCCCCATAAAATGAGAATGGCCTCTATCATTCTACACTATACAGCATACAATCAATGCCTTTCCTTCTTGTTTGCTCCCATTGTCTTGGTATAAAGATCCAAATCGTAGCCTATTTCCTCTGAGAATCTTTCTCTGATCCTGCCTTTATTCCCTGCTAATCTGGAGTGGCAGCCTGGCCTATGTGCATTCTTATATTGCAGAATTTGTAAGCTACTCTAATTGTCTGGTTTTTTCCCTCCTGTCTCTCCATCTGGCCGTGAGTTCCTTGATGATAAGAGATGATTTACCCCTTTTCTTCCTCTGTGTCCCCCAGTGGTTAGTACAGTGTGGATGATCTAAAAGTGCTTGCTTGGGGCGCCTGGGTGGCTCAGTTGGTTAAGTGTCTGCCAGGGTCCTGGGATCCCAGGGTCCTGGGATTGAGCCCCGCATCAGGCTCTCTGCTCAGCAGGGGAGTCTGCTTCTCCCTCTCCCTCTACCTGCTTCTCTGCCTGCTTGTGTGCTCTCTCTCTCTCTCTCTGTCAAATAAATAAATAAAATCTTAAAAAAAAAATGCTTGCTTGATGACTGACGGTGGAAGAGGAAGCAGAGCCAAGCCTCCTTTATGAAACCTTCTCTAAAGGAGAAACCTTCCAGGGAAACCACAGCAGAGGTTTCTGCTCACATTTCCATGCTCTGTTCTACTAAACTCATTCTTTTTCTCAGTCTTTTCCTACAGAGTACCCTTTCCTCTGAACTTCTAGAGACCCCAGAATTGGTACAACAGAGTTTACTGATCAACTGTACCCTGACTCATATTATTCACAAGAGTTACGTGGCTCTTTCTTATTCTTCCTACTACATTGGTATTTCTTTAGGGCATTTTAAACTCAGCACCTAACACCAGGCTGAATCCATAGTATTTAATTTGGAAGGCCTGACATGTTCTTGAAGGAGTATTTTCTTTGAACATTCATTATGTATTCCAGAACTCTAGAACTGGGCATGTGGGTGGGATTAGTCCTTGCTTGGCTCCCACTGGTCATTCAAGTTCTTTGGTTGTTTGAGATGGTAGGGTTTTGCTATATGGTGGACAGAGTCAACATCTCATTTCCATTATTTTCAGGTCCTCGATCCAGGCATTGGGATAGTTTCCATAAGCAAAGGCGCAGAGATTGGACTCTCCATGGCTACTCACCTAAAACAAGTCAAAGCCACCGTGCTTATTAATGGGCCCAACTTCGCATTTAGCATTCCACAGGTATATCGTGGTCAGATAAGTCAGCCCTTGCCCTTCTCTCCACAATTGCTATCCATCAACGCCTTAGGGTTAGCAGAGTTCCAGCACAGCTTTGAGGAAGCTAGAAGTGAAGCTAGTGAGACTTCTCTTCTCCCGATTGAAAAGGCCCAGGGACATTTCCTTTTCATTGTGGGAGAAGATGATAAGAATATCAACAGCAAAGCATATGCTAAGCAAGCCACAGAACAGTTGAGAAGATATGGGAAGAACAGCTGGACCCTGCTATCTTACCCTGGGGCGGGCCACCTGTTAGAGCCTCCCTATTCCCCAAGATGCTGTGCCTCAAAGATCTCCAATCTCCACCTATTTATGCACTGGGGTGGAGAGGTGACCCCACACGTCGCTGCCCAGGAGCATTCTTGGAAGGAGATACAGAAGTTTCTCAGGAAGCACCTTGTTCCAGTTGTGACCAGTCAACTCTGAGAAGAAAAGATATTCCTGAGAAACAGAGAAGCAATACCAGACCTTCACTTGATTTTCATGAACAACATCTTTGATTTCTTACTGTGGGAGGTTATACTAAGAGAAAGCAGGAGGGTGACAGTGGTCATGTCTTGACTCTGGAAAGGGAAAATGGTTTCCATTTAATCAATATCATACATGGAGAGTTTTATATTTTTAAAAATTAAGTTTAGGGCTCTACCTGCCCTAAAATATTCTGGTTTATTATTATAGCAATTGTTTGGTGGGAAAAAAAAACGACCAAAATGAATGACAGAATCTCCTGGTTTATAAAACAGACATGAGTAGAATCAGGTGCTGATATTTGTTGACTTCTTAAAACTCAAATGAAATATGTTTAGATTTCTCATATTTGAAAATATGCTCATGGTTCATGGTTACTTCATTTTCATTGAAAAACTAGAGCTGGGTAAACGAATTTATTACTTTAAGGCAATATGGAAATGGATACGGAGGTAACGTGACTGAGTCAGCCTACAATCGATAATTCAACAAATGCTAATAAAAGAAAATAAAGTAATATTTGTGTTGAAACATACAGCATTTTGAGAAAAACAATCTGAGATTCACAGAATTGCACTTTGGGGAGGAGCCCTGCTGGTGTGGTTTGTGTGCCTTCGGGCTGGCAGACTGTTTCTGTAAAGTTCTACATAGCAAATATTTTCAGCTTTGTGGGCCATGAAGTCTCTGTCACTGTTGTTGAGTTCTGCCATTCCAGCACAAAAGCAGTATAGATAGGCCATAATGAACGATCGTGGCTTTGTTCCAATTAAACTTTATTTATGGACACTGATATTTGCATTTCATATAATTTTTACATGTCACAGAATAGTAATTTTCTTTTAATTTTTTTCTAAGCATTGACCAATGTAAAAGCCATTCTCAGCTTATGGGCAGCAGAAAAACAGGTTGTTGGCTGGATTTAGCTCACAGGGCATAGTTTGATGACCCTGGGTGTAAACAATCCAAATTACCTTGTCCAAGGTCAGATATGACGCATTTTCTCTAAGGGGCACGTCACAGCCCACATATTCCTGAGCTACTGAATTGCAGTGGATGGAAGTGGAAGGTGAGTGGGAGATAAGTGAAGGTGAACCAGTAAAAAAGGGTTTTGAATGATTTCGTAGGTGTGGTGGGGAAGCCAGTGAGGAATGAGAGTGATAGAAGTAATAGGAAGACACTTCATGGTATCTGCCTAAACTTTTTCCTTTCATCTGCTTTCTGATGCTCCCTCTGTTTAGAGTAAAATCATTCCATTCAGGATGAGTGAGGCTACTAGCCTCCCTCCTTTCTCACTCAGACAAGTTTTCACATTTTCCAGACCTAGTCAATCAGACCACGTCACTCCTTTGACACTAATAATCATGTAACTGCAATGGCTAATACTACCTATGCTTTATGCTACATAGTAACTGTGTAGGTTAGATGCCATATCATTAGTTATATACGCCATATGCTATATAATAGTTATAGTGAGTTTAATGGGTAAAATTATTTTTGTTTCCTGTTTTGGACTTTAGGAAGAATGCCTATGTTTATGAGATATGATGTTTGTGTTTGGTCTGATATATATCCCTTGGTTTACATTTTGTGGATTTTCAGAACCAAGAAGGTTTTGAATTTTTTTTTCATATATTCTTTTCCCCACCACTACTACTATAGAGGTTGGCAGGAATGCAGATCAAATAACCATTCTTGGCCAGCTTCTCTAAATATAACTGGTCTGATCTCCAGGCACTGACCTCTTTTTTTTTTTAAAGATTTTATTTATTTATTTGACAGAGAGAGACACAGCAAGAGAGGGAACACAGCAGGGGGAGTGGGAGAGGGAGAAGTAGGCCTCCCGCCGAGCGGGGAGCCCGATGTGGGGCTCGATCCCAGGACCCTGGGATCATGACCTGAGCCGAAGGCAGACGCTTAATGACTGAGCCACCCAGGCACCCCAGGCATTGACCTCTTGGGTGCACCGATAAAGTATCTGCACGTGGTTAGCTAATAGTGTGTCCTCTCAGCGTGGTCCAGGCCAGCTGGCAAAACCACTCTCACCCTCTGCTTTTGGCCCACCTGGCTTTTATTGTCCTTGCAAATTCTCTAAGTGTGATTTGTGTCTTCTATCAGGTCCCTGGTAGATGCATATACCCCATCTCCTCTGTTAAAGGGTCAGCTCACACACGGCCACAACAATCCCAGGGCAGACTTGCTGACCTTCAGCTCTCAGCTGCCTTCCATGCCCATCACCTTGAGAATCTGGGAGCTTGCTGAACTCTTTCACACATCAGCAGTGCAAAGGGAGACTTGCATGTGCTATCTCCTTCTGCCTAAACACAATGTCCTGTTAACACTGTGCTTTTCAAAACTCCAAACAGGAAGCAGGAAAAAAGCTTCTGCGGATTTCAATTTCTCATAATCCATTCCCACCTTGGTCAAGGTTCAGACCTTCTCTCTAGGCGGGGTTGCCTTTTTCCGAAGGACAAGCCCCAGGACCTAGACTTAATGTAATAAAGCTTCCAAGGAAGAATAAAGCAATTACCGAGAACATCACTGCTGTGGGGGAGGCATTAATAAAGATCATCCTTGCCTTATAAGAAATAGGTCAGGGGCGCCTGGGTGGCTCAGTTATTAAATGTCTGCCTTTGGCTCAGGTCATGATCCCAGGGTCCTGGGATCGAGCCCCACATCAGGCTCCCTGCTCAGCGGGAAGCCTGCCTCTCCCTCTCCCACTCCCCCCCGCTTGTGTTCCCTCTCTCACTGTCTCTCTCTGTCAAATAAGTAAATAAAGTCTTAAAAAATAAATAGGTCAGAGTACACAGATATAGCTAAACTCATGAAGGTGCTACTTAATGACAAGCATTTTTTGGAGTACTGATTTATGTCAGCCTTCTCATAGCTGAGTAATAGAGGTGCAGAGAAATTTTCACGATGAATTGATAGCAGGGCTGGAATCAGAACCCAGGGACTTAGACCTGAATTTTCTCTGTTACTCTGTGTTGAGATTTTCCCCCATGGCCTGTTAAACTCTATTCTCTGGAAATTTGAAATAAATTTGAGTCTATACATTAACACATTGTTTTGGTTGTTTTTAGCTTAGGAGGGCTAGAGACACTTCAAGTTCTATATTTACTCTGATTATGGAGAAATTTTTTATGTTCTAATGATGACTAGGGACACTGTTGGGTCTACCATTGAGAAGAAGTCAGTTTTCCACTGATTGTTGCAGCTATGTGGAAGCTCAATGAAAGTACACCTGTAACTTTACCCCAGTAGAATAGTCTTCATTCCATAGTCACTAATTTTCACGCTCTTCTTCTCTCTCCTTTGAAGGAAACCAGAATATGTCACCCCAAAATATACCTCTTTAACAAAAATCAGCAGTTAAAAAAAAAAACAGCAGATACAAGAAGGGCCCTCTGACCCTTCCTTTTTCCCTCCTGAAAGCAGGAGATAAAACTCCCAGATGGAAGGTGTCCTCCTTATACCAGAAGGAAAGTAAACTGCCCACATAGTTCAGTTACTTTTCCACAATTGTCTCTGTCTTTGTTCAAGCTAATATAAAAGCAAGTATTTGCTTTTCTTTGGGTCTCATTCCTTATGAGGGCTCCTGTGCCACATAAAACTTATATTAAATACTTTTGTGTGCTTTTCACCTCTTAATCTGTCTTATGTCAGTTACATTCTCAGGCCCTGTAAATATACCTAAAGAAGGTGTGCATAGAGAAAGGGAGAGAGATTGATGGATTTTAAGGAATTGGCTTGTGTGATTGCAGGGGCTCAAATCTTCAGGGCAGGTCAGCAGGCTTTGGGGTCCCAGGTAAGAGTTGATGTTGCAGACGTGGGTCTGAGGGCAGACTGCAGGTAGATATCCTTCTACCCTAGAGGACCTCAGTCCTTCCTGCAAGGTTCACACCTGCTAGTGATAACTGCTAAGGTCTCTTCCCTACACAGTCATCACTTCACTGCCCAGTGTCCCTACTCCTCGTTTGCTGTAGCCCTTAGGGGCCCATGGACTGCTAGGTTCCCCAGTGTTTTCCATTCTGGGCAGCAGAGTGGAGAAGACCTGGCTCTGTGCCAGCCTGACCTGCTCCCCCTTGATTACCTGGGTGCTGGAACCTCCTGACTTGCCCACCCTTTCCTGCACTGCTCTTAGAATCTTCATGAAGGGGCACCTAGGGGGCTCAGTCGGTTAAGTGACTGCCTTCAACTCAGGTCATGATCCCAGGGTCCTGGGATCGAGCCCCTCATTGGGCTCTCTGCTCAGCGGGAAGCCTGCTTCTCCCTCTCCCACTCCCCCTGCTTGTGTTCCCTCTCTCGCTGTCTCTCTCTCTGTCAATTAAATAAATAAATAAAATCTTAAAAAAAAAAACTTAAAAAAAAAAAGAATCTTCATGAAAATGACACTGATCCCACCCTGGGACCTGATCTTGGGAATTAGTCCCTCAACTGGGAGACTTGCTATCCTGCCAAGGTACCTCTCATCCACTGGGAGAGCTGTGTGCGGAGGCACCATTCTCTTTCCTTAGTACCTCCAACCTGCCCATGACTTCCCTTGACTTCCAAGATCAGCCCTCTTCCCTCAAGGCTTATATTTCACCTTCAATACATTTACATATCACTCCCATTTAAGAAGTCAGAAGCACAAGGAAAGTTAAGCAATCTGCCTGAGGTCAGTCCCACGGATAGTTGAGGAGTCCGGGTTCCAGTCTAGGTCTCTCTGGTTCCAGAGACCGGTGGTCTCCCAGCTACACCTCACTGGCTGCAAAAGGTGCAAAAATGAAAAGTCACAGTGCCCTCCCTCAAGCAAGTCACCACCTGGAGGCACAGTCTACAATCTGTAAACTTGATCATTTGTACATTTTGACAATGGACATCGGCTGAGGAGATTAACAGTGGGGCAGACTTCAGAGGTTCTGGCCCCAGGGAAGCATTTTTGCATTGGGAGGGCTTCTGTTGTCCCTTGGAAGAGTGGTTGACAGACCCAGCTATGCCTTAGCAATCCCCTGCTAAACATACAAATCCCAGGACCTTACTCCAGTTGGAATCTCCAGGTGCAGGGGCCCAGGAACCTTGACTTAACAGGCCCCTCGGGTGAGTCTTCAGCCCACACTGCTTGGAGGCTAGATATCTGGGACTTTCCTTGTTAAACACGATCAAAAAAGGCAGTTGCCTAAGAGAGCACCGACTCCAAGGAGGCAATGGAGAAGGGTTTGCAGGAAAGGAGACCAGAACTGGGAGTGGAGAGGAGTCAGGGAAGTGCTTAGAAACCAGAGCTATGTGATGAAACCCGAGATCCATTGTGAAACACCTGGACTGAGAGGTGCCCCAGCTGCACTGAGACCCTGCCCTGACCCCGTGACAGCAGGGCCCATAGTCCTGTCCCTGGGGACATAAGAGGAAGGAGCAGCTGACAGTTTGGTGAGGGAGAGCAGGCTAGCGGGTGCCTGGCTGGCTCAGTTGGAAGAATAGACTGGGGAAGCTAGTTGGCTCAGCAAGCCGCCCTACTCCAGACTGCTCCCGGCAGCTGAACTCAGGGTGAGTGCGGGGGAGTCGGGCTGTCACGGCCTGGCCTGGCTGAGGGCTGCGCAGTATTCGGCAGGGCACCCGGGAAGGTGGCTTTCATTCAGCTGTGTGCATTCCTCTCAGCTGGGCGGCTAGCGCAGCTCACTGGGGGACCTGCGAGGACCGACGCCTCCCTCATGGGTGGCCGATTGCTCGGCCACGCGGATCTATGTTTTAGAAGCATCCACCTAACAAGAGATCCTTTAGAGATTGTTTTGGGGGCAAAGTGCACACTCAGCTGCAAAGTCAGGGTCCTCTTACTCGTGTGAACTTATGGAGAGATTGTTTCTTGACTTGGGAAATTTGTCTCTGAGACTTACTGCTTGGAAGGTTGAGGGGGGTGGTAGGGAAGGAAGTACCTGTGATGAAGAAGAAAAGCCCCTAAAGGGAAAGGACTTTTGTTTCTTGATTAGTAGGTTTAACTCCGGTGGGTGACCTTCTGCTCTCTTTCTTTCTTTGTTTCCTGCCATCTATTGTGTTAGCGTCCTACCAGTTCCTGGCTGCCTTTTCTCCAAGATAGGTCAAGTTCTCCCAGGGGTGTAACCATACCCTTCCCCATGGGAGTCTGGAACCTGCTTCACAAAATGGCTTTCAGCTTTCAGCCCAAGAGGTTGCTTCCACATTGCCGAGGGCTCTCTCTGCAACCACTGGGAGGCTTATCCTGTTTGAAGCAGATTATGTGCCTGGCACTATTCTAGAAACTGAGGAATAGAATGTTGAGCAAGGGGTAATTCTCGCCCTTGAGGAATAATTAACAATCTGGACTAGTGCTGTTCAGTGGAGTATTCTAGGCTGATGGAAATAGTCTCTATCTGAATTGCCCAGTGTAGTAGCCACTAGTTACGTGTGGCTATTGAGCAATTAAAATGTGGTTACTGTGACTGAGGAATTAAAATTTTGTTTGTTTTTAATACACTGAAATTTAATTAGCTATATGTGGCTGGAGGCCACTACACTGGATAGAGCAAAAAGGGAGGGAGAGAAAGAAGCAGATTTTTACAATATCACTTACAATATGCTAAGTGTTATAATGAGACGGTTGGACTAGTAAGTAGGTTGGGGTGACTTGTAAAAGCTTTGATTGAATCAGATTGTTATAACGGGCACCAAACACAAAGGGAAGTCCAACTCCAAGACTGACAGATTCAGCTGGTAAAGAAATAGTAGCCCCTGTTAGATTCAGACAGTTTATTATTTACATAGATAATGAAGGCAAGAGAAGCCAAAGGCACCAGC